TATCTAATCTCCATCTCTCTTTTCTAATCTTAAAGTAGTATGTTGTCTTTGTTCTTTATTGTTCTATGTTGTCTTTGTCCTTGCTTAAAGAACAGATACCTACTAAGCGGTGTTAAAATGAACAACGGATTTTGTTAATCCTTGATCATAACTATTGGCATTGCCAATATAAATGTAGCTACTTAATCATATATAAATCTAAAATTTCAAATCTGAGATTATTAAACTAATAATCTAAGTTCCAAATATTAATAAAAAATTGTTGCTTTACCTTAAGTGGGTACGTACCTAAGTATTCCAGTTTTCAAGGACTTATTTTCTTTACGTATTATGTATTGTTTAACAAGGTTTTGATGTTTACTGCAGATGTTAAAGCAAATTATTTATAATCAACCTTCGATCAAACAAACTAATTTATTTGATCGAAGTAATCAACCAATAAACAATAATGACACGGACATTATTGTTTATTGGTGACGGATTAAGAATACAGAGTGTCACCACCCCTATTCATCCCGTAGGTGTCGTAAGAGCCGATTAAGGGAGAAAACTACGCAGAACAACAGCACTGCAGAGAGAAGGACTTGACACAAACCCTACACTAACCCGTCTGGCTAGCGTGGCAAAGTAAGCCAAAACCTCCTTAAGGAGAGGCTTATGTTCAACAGTGGACTTTTAAAGGCTGTTGATGTGAATCAACCAAAATCTCTAAATATATTGGAATGATAATAAAAAGTCGTTACATTTCTGTTACATTTATTTTTGACACCTTAAAAACTAACGCATAATTTAGTAGACGAGATTATATCTACTTATATACTATATTTTAATTGCAGTCATAAGTTATAAATAAATAATATTGCTAATAATAATCACATTTCACTTTGACTTAATTCTAGTTTCTAAATTTTGAAACACACGATTTTGCCGTTGATTTAACTAATTTCACGATTATTTTTTACGTAAGTTGCTGTAACATTCTGCTTTGTATTTATAAAAAAAAAATGAAAAACCAATTGTATGAATGTTGTTACCATAATTACTGTGTACTTATGCAAACTAATAAAATGTATATGATCGTAGCTTTATACTTACATAAATGAATTAATATTTTATATTTCTCTTGATATTAGAATCTTAACCAAGAATGGTGCTGATTAATATTCTGGTGATTGAATTTTTGTCGGACATTATGTGTTTGAGCCAAGATTTACTGAGCGTTTATATTGTCTTACAATGAAATGTCATCAATCTTTTAAGTACTAAGTACTAATACTGTGTATAAAGTTTTAGTGTATTATTAATGTTGTAAGATGGTGCACTATTAGCATTATCTATCTAATATTGGGGATATTTTATACATTATAAAAAAAATGCATTTAAGTGATAGAAGTACAGGTGTATGTATGATTAGTTTTACATTAACAGATCAAGAGTCATTAACACTTCATTCGATTACTTATTCTCAACAAAAAAACACTACAGTTTAAAATGCTACAATTACATTCATGACTTATCATAGCGAAATAACGTACCTAAATACCTAGGACCATAAATACATTTATATTGATATACACTATATTTTACAACTAATTTTATTTTGGCACACGTTCCACAGTTTGTCTCTGGAATTGTCACAGAGACGTTATAACTACAACATAAAGTCACAAAATTACATAATTAAAATATAGCCGTCACTTAATTAAATCCTGAAGTATTTAGAACTATTTCGAGCTATACTGCACAGCAAATTTCTACTATGTAGGCTATAAGTACCATACAAATATAAACTAGTGTATACACAATGACGTCATTGTCCTAGAAATATGAGTACATGAACCCGACCTTCGTATTACTCTAGTCCCGATCCCATTACCCCACCCGAGTCTCTGACCTTTAAAATCCTTTACCACCCTTAATCTCCTAGCTTCCGAGTCCTTTATTATGTTTTTCTTACTCCGATTTAACATCTTCCACTGCTACGTCTGAAAATGATTTAATTCCCTTGGAGGATTATTTCAAGGTAAGTAAACGCGAATCAAGCTATAATTTTCGGTAACGTTACAAGATGCGTCCATCTCTAATAAAATTAGGACAAGGGCAAAAAAATTATGACGCAAGGTTATACATACATACCGTACATAACGCATGTTCTACCCCGTTTGATAGGATAAAACATTTAAATAACCTACTACGTACGTTTTAGAGTAAAATATTACCATTTAGAACAATGAAAAATTACTTAATAGACATTAAAAGACAACCTAGGTTTTTGTTAAATATCAATTTATGATTGTTTGAAGAACCCTATTTTCATTTACAATCTAGAGAAAATACGATCTTTTCCTCGTGAATCCTACATTTCAATATCAATGATATTTAGATACTTACTTACTTACTTAATATTAAACTTACTTAATATTAAACATTAAGATACATTGCAATTTCTACACATCTTATACAATTTCTCAACTGCTTCTGAATTAAGTGAAGATGGAATGTTATGAAATAATCCTATGTCTTGTCTTTTTATAATAAACTCTTTAAAAAAAAACAGGCTATTGCCAGAGAAAATTTTTTTAGAGCTCCGCTCCGACTCCGCTCACATTCCAATAATAAATTGTGGAGATCATCAATTGTACTGAGGTACTGAAGTTTCACAGTTGGGCGAATCATTTTTTTCCATCATATATCCCTATTTTATTTAATATAATATATGGAGAGCGTAATCTTAGTGTCATAACGACTAGAGACCTATTTAAATATTTTTTCTATGAACCAAGGGCGAGGAGGCTCGCTCTGTATAATTTTATACCATATTCCTTTCTCCTCTGAACGTTGATTGACATATTCTTTCCTCTTATGAATTCCTTTCAATGATTTTGCGAAATCTCAAAAATATCAGTCTTGATCCTAATTTTGATAATTTAAGATCCTAATTTCATTAATTTGTCTGCCTCCTCGATGCCTTCAAGCCATCGAGCGATGGAACCCATTGCAATTTTAGTGTAATATGATATTTCTTTGCAGTCATATTTATATTGAATTCCAAAAGGATACCAAAAAGGATACTTTACACACTAGTAACAACATAAGTTTACCTGTTTTCCAACTTTTTTTTTTTCGGAGCAAAGAATAGCCAATACGTGTTCAATGTTTGTTATATTTGGATTTAGAGAATTTTGTGAAAATCTAACACTAGATTACTAAAATTATTTTCACTGATAACAACATGACATAATTACACCACTTGACTACGTAGTAGTTTTAAAAAATTATATTCTTGTAGAATACTAAATAGAAATAGGAGACAAATTAGTAAAAATAATAGAATAGAATAAAATAGAGGGGCATTCGGACATGTTTAAGAAAGTTAATATAGGTTTGAGTCTCATTGAACAAACACGACATACATACATACGTAGCATACGTACATTCCCTGAGTTTTTGTTAATGTTTATGCCTCACCTTTAAGTAGCTTTGCTTAACCCTTCGTCTACAAGGTTTTAAAAACGCGTCCCTTAACTTTCTTGTTTACCTTGCCTAACTATTACGACACGACATGTTAAAAAGTTAGAAAAAAAACTTGTACTTGTATTTGAAATATGTATACTATCTATATGAAGAAATTAAAGTTTATTGTAATAGTCGAACTACAATACACAGCTACAATATTGTAATATTTGAGAAGTCATAAGGAAAAGAGTTCTATTAACATTAATAACGCAGAAGCGTTAGGATCCGGATAACACTATCATACTTTTCATAGTACTAAAAATACTTAACAGCTAAAATAAATGCATAGGTACATTTGACGCATTCAAAATTAGAAATCTAGACGACGAATCTTACCCTAGCGTTACAAACAAACGACCTATTTGTTTAATAGATCATAGACTAATAAGTTACTTCATAGGTCCATAAGGGTGAACGTTATATCTATAATATAATGCTTAAAAATACTGCTTCAAGATTTTGTATTGCGTTGCTTGTTTGATAAACTCGCTAATCTTTGGATCTAAATGTTTTATTCGAATTATTTTTGTGTGTTGAATAGAGTAGATAGAGGCAGTTTATGTCATATGATGCCACAACTGCTGGGAGTGACTAATAATGGAATAAAAATGTCCGTGATTGGTCTTTAAAACTTATAAGTTTATACGGTTTTATCTAAGTATCTCTAATGACTAGTTTAAGGCCTGTAGAAGCCTCTAATCAAAAAGTGAAGCTAGCCCTCGCGTCTATGTAAGGCGCATAGCTTTTTAATAAATGTGGAAATTACACTCATTCACTTCACTTTTTTATAAATAACTTATCCTAACTCGGATCCTTTCTACATGATACCGAGGACACAAGACATTCAGTCCTAAATATCCTAAAATATCTGGCAAATTGTGGCACAGTTCGCTTAATAATGTACAACCTTCGAAACGTCTAATTTAAAATAATATATTATTTTGAAAGAAAAATTGTCTGTAAATGTGAGTCTTAATTTTAATAACCTACACTTAATTATATACATAGCTGTTTATTATCTATCGAGATCTATTTTAGACTTCTTAGGTTAACATCTAGAATAGCATCTAGAATACCTTTCTTAATCTAAACAATGATTTGTAAATAGAACTGTTGGTAATAAACAGTCCATACAATTCAGATTTAGAACTTCCTTTGATTTCATAGTTCATGATATCTACGAGTATATTATATGGGTACAAATGTTTTAACATGAGTTTAGAAAACAAATGTCCCCCGGAAACCGGAAATAGTTAAAAAAATCTATGATCTATTAAAAGTGACCAGTATTATAAACTATACTAACCTTACCTATATTTTTTATCCCTTTTTAACATTCCCGTTTTGGATTTTATATTCATCTGAGTTTTCCAAGATTGTAGTATATCGACTTCGTTGGTATGTTGCACTTGATATCTGAACAGTATGGACTGATTGCCTAATTCAATTAAAACCCTTTAAGGTTCCAATTTGACCGGTAATTCTCAAGATGGCGGCTCGGGCGGTGGAAGTGGGCCTGGAATGGGGCCTTGTAAAAGTTTCGCTGCTGCGGGGAATCCGGTTAAATCAAAACCTGGTGGAGGCACGATGCCTGCTGCTGTTGCTGTACTTTGTAAGTAGGCTACTAGTCTGTAATGTATGAAAGGAATATATATTATTATTATTTTTTGTTAACTTTAGTTATCATTAAAAAAAATCTTGTATTTAATTTTGTATAAAAGACAACTCGCATTAGGAATATATCATATGTCCTGTACAAACATACATGAAACAGTCAAAATTAGATAGTTTTTGCAATAGGCGTTCTAATCGATTCCAATTGCTATCGATATATGGGGAAGAAATAAATAACTTATAATATTTTCTATAATTAAGGTAAATTACAAATCTAATGAAAACTAAACGATTTCTTTTAAATTCAGAAATATTGTACTTAAATTCGTACTAGCAATAAAATGTAAAATTTACAGAATGAAATCTTTGAATGATATATTATTTTGTTTATGTTTTTTGGCAGGGACACATCAGGATTTTCTTGGCAGTTGATGACGTGAGATGCACTACAATACTTTGACTGGGACCGTTTTTTCATTTACTCTGTAATAAAATGTGTTCCGATACCTGCGCAGTTCCTCCAACGCGCTCGCCTGCATCAAGATGTAGTTCTTGGCAAGTAACAGCGTTGCGATCTTGGAAAGCTTACGAACAGACGGCGAGTGAGCATACGGGATCACTCCTCGCAACTCGTCCAAAGCATCGTTCTGGAACCACACCAAAAACATCAATTATAAATTACGATAATTTAATTTCCTAGAAAGACTTTGCCTTGATTTCAATGACTATTTCTAAAATAGACTTATTTTATGTTAACTGATAATTAAGTGAAGTGATGATTTGCGCAAGATAGCTGGCAGGAACCGGAAGAGAGAAGCCGAGGATGGAACCAAATGGCGTGCAATTGGAGAGGCCCATGTCCGGCAGTTGACTGCGATAGGCTGATGATGATAATAACATATGATAAATTAATCAGCCTATTGAAGTTCACTACTTTATATAGACTTCCTCCTAGAATTTTATATAAATATATTTATAAAAATAGGATTCTTGAATATTTTACATCAAGTGTACTATGTATTGATAGATAAGTGATATGGGTAGTATCAGATCTTACGTTTTTTACTACTGGGGCCTGTGCTTTTTTAGTTGTAATAAAGAGTATTTGTTACTGCAGTAAACAAATTATGAAAATCTGTTATGTCCATGTCCCTTAAGTTCTGTCAGTAAAGAATATTTTTTTTATAACCACCATTGTAATTGTTACAACGTCAGAGAAAGTAGACATGGGATATCTTACAAGATCGTGCATGCGGCGTCGTTCTCGTGCATTGATGTTTAAGCGGACATTCTTTCCCTGCCGCATCTTCTGTTTAGATTTCGCCTCGTTGATTGGTCTATAACACAATATAATCAATTACAATGTACAAAATATATTCCAAGTTTAATATTAACTTTAAGAACCAGCTGTACTTTACCACGTCTTAATATTATACTGAGTTATAAATTTTATTTTCTCACACAAAATTATTAATGACAGTCAAAATAGCATTTTTAAATTAACACAGCAAAGCATTTATTTTAAGTCAAGTATTTCAAGTATTTGTGACGAGTACATAAAAACCAAAATATTATCCTCTTTAAATTTATTTTGGGAGTCAGAATGTATCATAAACAGATACCTTTTAAAACTAGAGCAATAGCTTAAAGATCGGAAAAAGATTTAAATTGTCTCGTCTAACTATGAAACTATAAATTACAAGTTTTTATTATCTGCCGCGTGTATCTCGAATAGTCTAATATAAAGTGGATTATTTTAGATTTTTAAAATAAAACTCAAGGTTGCAGGATAGTGGTTTAGTGAGTGAAGGCTAATTAAAAATGGTATATGAAATATATGACAATTGTATTTTCAAATGTTTTACATTTACATTTAGGATTGTTTATTTTAAAAATATATAAATAGGACCATTAAGAAAGATTTTTCCTAGTGTGTTTCCAGTAGGAAAAATACTTCGGATTTATTCAAAGGCTGTTTCATTTATTCAAGTGTATGAATTAACTAAAATCTACTTGATCTCGTCTCTATAATTTTGTTTATCAAAAGAATGCATCTAATAATAATAATTCACTATCTTCCAGATACCTTGTGATAACATGGTAAAAACTAGTCATTAAGTACTACGAGTATAACAATCTACTAAATCTCTACTAACTAACGGAATTTTCAAATTGCAAATCCTAAGATAATCATGGAAATTACCATTGTTCCACGGCTTTTATTTACGAATTTTATTTCGTTGTAAAATTCCATTAAATTGAAAAAACAATCAAGTATGAAAAAAAAAACTATTCAAACACAAATGGATTGATCTTTAAACTTTTTCCGTTTTTTTTTTGCGGTTTAAATTATGGTTATTAAAAATATTACGTTCTACTATTTTACAACTAGTGAGTAAATAAGTCGACCATTGACGAGTAATGCTTACAATAAAAGTTGTTCTCCCCTCAGGATGAGGGTGCACGGTGAGCTTGAGTGAAACAAGTGGCAAATACTCTTTGTTGAACAATGAATAGGTTTGTGTTCGACGATAACAAGGGAGAGGGGTGAATTAGGGAGCTTAGGAGAATTTAATGTCGGTTTGGTGCTTGATACTCCGACCTATATACGTCATAGGTTGTATGAGAAACGTATTAGGAACTTTTCAATAATTGGACTAATACAAATATGTAAATACAAAATTTAATATCGTACCGAATTGCATCACGAAATTCCGACTAAATACTTCAGACTTAGTTTCCAAAGCTTAAATTATTTAATGAGAGCAATAACGTTTTTGTAATAAATAAATATAGTGACAAACATTAAATTAAATTTTTAATCCGTTTAGGTAATTCAAAGCCAAATCATGAGAGCCGTGTATTTAATTTTAAGAATAAAGAATTTTTTATTTGAATAAATGACAGATTCCTTTACTCAATGCTTCTCTTATAAGTATGTTTTGATTATTCATTTGAAAATGTATTTGCTCGTGGAGCGTAGTGGTGGTTACCACATTGCAAAGTTAAGTTATCCTAGCCAGGACCGGGGTGACCATTCTTAACACATTGAGACCACTCCGTGCCTCGGTGAGCACATTAAGCCGTCGGTCCCGGTTGCCATATGAACATCTGTGGCAATCGTTACGGGTAATTGGAGCGCTAAAAGTCTGACACTAGTCTTTTTAAAGAACTTCGATATCGCCTAGTACTTTTGTTTTGGAGGTCTGACAGCAGTCACTCCGCGTAAACAATTGAAGTACAGCCGTATCGTAGTAGACTTAAGGGCCGACCCCAACCTAGTTTGGGAAAAAAATATTAGAAGCGGGTTGTATATTACATCAAAATTTGTGCTCAATCGGTACAGAACTTTTTATGTTTTTGATGCGCACACAAATCAACTATTTGTAGTTTGTAACTTAACATTTTCTTATATAAAGATTGTTGAAATAGGTAAGCTAACAAAACCACCAGTTTAGCGTATACATACCATACATAGATAAATTCGAGCTTAAGTCGAGACTAACAAACAGAGACATAAAAACATTGTAAAGCAAACAGACAAATACATAGGTAAATAAAAAGATCACCAGACAAACATATCGCCAGTCCAGCAGAGGGACACACTTTTGCGAAAAAGAAACAAATGTAAACAAAGTGAGAGACAACCACGTTGACTAATCAATAGAAAAACATATAGATAAACAGAGAGAAAAGTGGGAAAATTGGAAATTCATGACACATATATCATTTTAAATATGTCCACAATTCTTAGCTTTTACCTCCATTACTATTAAAACGTCACGGGACTTATATGTTATATAACAGTATTTTTATGACGACCATTAAATAGTGTAGAAGTTTTTACGACTTATGTATGAGAATAACTTCCAATCTTTTATTTGTTACATTGAGTTAAATATAAAATACATGAAGATTGTAACTTATTAGCGTATGTGCATTTATGAGCTATTTGTTTGTTTATACATAGTAATAGTAATAATGTCGAATATAACATCTGGTCAATGTAGAATGTGTAGAAATAGTTGGGTTTTTAATAATATTCTATTTCCTATTTAAAGATTTTATTTAGACTAATCATTTACAGCATTTCCATACAATTCTTCTTCATTTATTGTCAGTATATTGTTTACAACTTTATGAAGGTATTGCGGGCCAGTTTCGTTAACGTGAGAAGTAGCGAAGTGGTGCCAATGCCTACTCTGTGACTTTGCGATCACTGGTTTGTCATCAAATCAATGAAATCAAATAAAATTTATTTTTAACCGACTTCAAAAAAGGAGGAGGTTCTCAATTCGACTGTTTTTTTTTTTTTTTTTATGTTTGTTACCTCATAACTTTCGACTGGGTGAACCGATTTTGATGATTCTTTTTTTATTGGAAAGCTGGTGCTTTCCGTGTGGTTTAGTTCTGACCATGGAATCCATGAGAAAACCATTGAAGTCGGTTTTTTTTGTTAAAATTTTACTTGTTGCAGAATACACTGGTACATTTATGTTATGAAATATACATGTTTTAAGTGATTCTACCCTCACATACATTTGTTCATGTGAGTGCGTTATAAAATTATAGGCATTTAAACATCTAGGCTAGTGAAACAGCTCCCATTGTGACCACAAAATCCAAACGCACGTTTGATGAGCGGCAAATGCGGTCATGTTGTCTGCATAGTGTTAATGTAAGTAATGTCACTATGAAACAGACGACTGCTTATCTATCTATCTTAGTTCTTATTTTGAATTTAAATTTAAATTTTATTGAGAGCATATTTATATTCGCGGCATTAATACTAGCGGTCAATGCGATAAAAATACTTGTCGTATAGGGGAGGGTAGATTTAACAATAGGGTCTATTGTGCACAGATGCTATTCGACAAACGTTATGCAATCTGATTTTTGGACATGTGTGCTTTTGATATTTTCAGACTGCCTCGGTGGTGCAGTGGAAGCTTATACGACTGCTGTTCTGAGGTCTCGGGTACGATTCCTGGGTCGGACTAAATGTTGGTATGATCTTCAAATATTTGTTTCGAAGTTTGGGTGTTTTCTATATGTAGTAATACGAGTATGTATGAATTTCCAAAAAAAAAGTTAATCAGTTAATCTAGCTTTCATAATGCAAGTTTGAACCTAGATGAAGTTGCGTGTCAGATGTAAAAAAATAAAATATTGTGGCAGTTTATTTCTGCTTTATTATTTTAAATATTTAGACCTTTGGGTTTTAATTAAGTAACTCTAAAATAACTCCAAGTAGATTTTAATGTAAACGGTTGACGTTAAGAATTATATCAATTATGGTTTTTTTTGACGATATAGTGAGCAAACGAGCAGATGGGTCACCTGATGGTAAGTGACTACCGCCACCTATGGACACCTGCAACTGAAGTTGCAACTGAGAACTGGAGTTGTAAAGAATTGCTTAACACTGTATTTCTCTGAGACCGTGGAAGCAATCCGGTCGAGCCTGGTCCATATATGCCGACTCCCTTCCATCCCCCCTTGTCCTCCCCTTCCCCTTCCCTCTGTGCACATAGCATCAATGCGTTTTTACCCATAAAAAGATAGTTAAATGTATAGAGTTTAATCCACCATTACTTTTAAAAGCCTGAATTTATTTTATTTTAATGTAAAAATCGACGTTAGAATCCTGATTGAAACTAGCAATAAATTAAGAAAACAATATGGCGACTCTATGGCGTGTGGTTTTATTTTATTTTAAACTAGCGATCAGCACTGGCTTCGCACGGGTGTAATGTAGATTTCACTAATGTGGTATACTATTATTATGATAAGACTATACTGCAGCCGCTTTGCCGCCCTTTTTAATTCTCTGATATCTACTAAGATATTCATTTTAATAATATGCTGTAAAAGGAAATTTTAATCTACGTCTGCATTAAATACACAAAGTTCTCAGCATATTTTTTGATAAGAAATAATAATATATTGTTCAAAATAGCTTCGTTAATTACCCATTTTTTTGCAATATGTTAAAGATAAAATGGTTACTGTGGGTTATCCTTAGGAGATAGACATGTACCATCACGGACTTTTTGCTGTCAAAATAACTGATCTTAACAATGTAGCTTTGTACAAAATAAAAAGAATACACATTAAATTCTAATGTTTGCTTATCCACATTTCCAGGAAAGTAAAGATATTGTTTTAACATTCATAGTAGTCAATTATATTACCTACAATTTTTTACATGTATGTCCCTAAACATTACATATGGCTACATTTACCAGTGACATATTGACTAAAGAGTTTTGAAATATATTATCATTAAGTGAAATTAAAATGTCTTGTTTAACATTATAGGTTATAGACACTTTAGCCGGCATTTTATGCTATACATTGTCATTTATGTAATACTCTATTGCGCATGCGTAAAAAACCGTATGTTCAAAACAAATATACAGCCGTACAGAATGTAACATTGCGGCTAAAACTACCAAAAGTAGATATATTCAAATAATTACTTTCTCATTGGTCAATAGAAGGACTAAGTTACGTCATGTAATCAGAAAAAAAGCAATCAAAGTAGGTAAAATTACTAACCTCTGTGCATAGCTGGTGCCTGGTTCTGGCTGGTTTTCGTCTGTCGGGTAGCAGTGTTGTGGGGGTGGCGGAGGCTGGCCACCTTGCATGTAGAAGCCACCGAGGCCGACGGCTCCCAATGGGGTCCTACGCCCCGGTACCGACTGTGGTGGTGAATGTGACTCGCCCAACGGCACTCCATCCCAAGACCTCCGCCCCTCCATTGTTGAAAAAAAATAAAATTAACGCATAACACTGGCTGAAAACACTATTTATATATTTTTTTTGAGGACGGTGTTAGGGACGTTTGAATTTGGAGCCGCTTTGACAGACAATGTGGCGTGTATGGCGGAGTGGTCCACAGATCGATCGCTGTACGCAGCTGGGGTGCGCACCCCTCTCATCTCTCCCGCGCGAGCATTGTTCTGAGATGGGATTGTGATTTATTCTGCCGGCGCGTGTGCAACCGGCCGGCAACGGAACATTTGATTATTAATGCATTTCAGCTGATAATTGGGTTGTACTTAGATGTCAAATACTGCAAACGTTGGTTAAATATTTTAAAATTTATCGCATTAATAAATATATAACACTGAAATCATGAAAAGGGCTGTCCATACTTATCTTACACATCAACTGATATATATTTTCGCATGCTTTAAATTCAAAAATCAAAAGAAAAAAAATGACATTATGCTCATAATTTAATCGAGAGCAAATTTTAGGCTCAAAATATCGAGATCAGCAGTATGGATGGAATAAAATCACTATCACATGTGATAATAGAGATTTAAGATACGAGGGCGGGTCAATAAGTCCGTGACTTTTGGAATAAAACACGGATTTTTTGATAAATAAATCATTTTATTTTTCAACGTAGTCTCCCTTGAGCTCTATACACTTTGTCCAACGCTTCTCCAATTTTTTTATCCCTTCCAAAAAATATGATTTGTCGAGGTCCTCAAAATAGGCCTTTGTTTGCGAGATGACTTCATCATTGGAGTCAAATCTTTTTCCACCAAGCCATTTCTTCAGGTTTAGGAACAAGAAGTAGTCACTCAGAGCCAAATCTGGAGAATAGGGCGGATGAGGGAGCAATTCATGGATTTTTGCCATGGCAACTGCACATGTGTGCACCCTTGCATTGTCTTGGTGGAAAAGAACTTTTTTCTTGGCCAAATGAGGTCGGTTTTTTTTCAAATCGTCATTGAATCGGTACAATAAGTTGGCATAATATTCCCCATTGATTGTTCTTCCCTTTTGAAGGTAGTCAATGTGGATTATCCCGCGTGCATCCCAAAAGACAGTTGCCATAACTTTATTGGCTGACAAACCCACCTTGGCCTTCTTTAGAAACCCACTGTTTTGACTGTTGTTTGGTCTCTGGTGTGTTGTGATGGATCCATGTTTTGTCCACGGTTACAAAACGACGCAAAAACTCCTCCATATTGCGATTAAACAACGCCAAACCTTCCTGTGAAGTTGTTACACGATTGCGTTTGTGGTCGACTGTGAGCAATCGCGGCACCCATCTTGCGGAAAACTTTCTCATGCCCAAGTGATCATTCAAAATTGAAACCACTGAGCCATGCGAGATCCCTACGGCTTCCACAATCTCTTGCACTTTCAATCTTCGGTCGGCCAACACCATATCGTGAATTATTTCGATTGTTTCGGGTGAAGAGACCTCAACTGGACGTCCAGGACGTTCGGCATCTTCAGTGCTTGTACGGCCACAACAAAATTCAGTAAACCACTTTTTTACCATTGAAATCGATGGTGCAGAGTCCCCATAGTATTTATCAAGCTTAGCCTTGGTCTCGGTAATGGTTTTTTTTCGCAAAAAATAATGCTTAATAAGCACACGAAATTCACTTTTTTCCATTTTTTCCTCAAATTACTGGGTAGTCTGATAAAGATAGCTGTCAAACACAAACTAACTGACGCAGCAAGTTCAAATTTTGACAGGAGTCAACTGACAGATGTTTGTTGACAGGAGTAGTGTTCCTTTTTCAGTAAAGAGGCCAGAAATTCAAAAAGTCACGGACTTATTGACCCGCCCTCGTATAAGCCAAAAACCGATCGAAGTGGCGTGCTATAGGAGAGACCTATGTCCAGCAGTGGACTGCGATAGGCTGATGATGATGATGATGAATAAATAAAAATAAATCGTACATCTTAATCAATCATACATCATACTCGTACATTATTTTAATAGAAAATTTAAACTCCATAACAATTGAAGCTAAGAGGTCATATCCATTGTAAGTAAAAAAGTGACCACTAAGTTTCTCTGCTTAGATGCAAATGAAACTCTTAAAAGTTTGGATTCTAAAAAAATATTGTTATAATATTCATCGAGAACAAAATGAAGGTTCGATGTTGATGATAAAAAGTTAACAGCAACTACGGAAATTGAGAAAGAATGTGTTTTCCATGAATTTTTAGTTAAAAAGTTTAAACCTTTACTTTTTGATAACTCATGAGTAATGATAGCTTGGTTCCGTGACTCAAACATGTTCAAAGTTTTATTAAAATATTATAAAATTTGCGTGAAGGTTTGTATGTATAAATTCATAAACACGTAATCATCATCAAGAACAAAAGTCTTAAACGACTTCAAAACAGATGAAGGAATTAAAAAAAATTCGTTGAAAGCTAGAAGTTTTTACTAGCCGAAAATATTAAAAAAAAAAAAAAAACACAATTTTTATACATTTTTCCAGAATTTGATAATACAAGTAAAAAAAGAGGTGCCTTTTTGTGGGACATATGGTTAATTTCGCAAAAAATATTTGTACGACCTTTTCTGCAGATATTACGCTGGTTTGAAGAAAAAGAAATGTTGCATTTAATTTTCCAATTTATGTAATCAGATTTATTTATTCTTTATTTAGTTCCGATGCTGTATGAATTTCGAAGATGAAGAAAACGTTCAGTGATCGAAAAACTGAAAGGTTATTAGTATAAGCAATTTTACGAAACTAGCCTACTTCGAATGACAATAAAGAAATAAAGAAATTCTTTGTTACACGAGTATTGATAATACCTAGCAATGTCAGCTGAAAATCTTCTTAGTGCGTGAGCATCTGAATCACCACCACTTCTGTACTTTCCTTTGAGGAAAATTCTAAAAAACTGCCTTTTAAAATTGAAACGCGTATTGTTTAAATTGAGTGACGATGAGGAACCCACCTCATTGTTTGCCTGAAACAGATTCTCGATTCGATTCTGTTCCAGTCCCGAAAATTTAAGGTTTATATTTAATCAAGCTAACTAAAATAGTCTAAATTTTTTTATATATTATACACGAATATCATATTGTTAACGGAGAGACCGTTTTTATTTATCAAACTTAGAGAGAACAGAATTAAGTGATTATGAAGTCCCTTAATCATCGTCAGGAGTTGTTGTCAGAAACAGATAGTGGATTTCAGTCCCGAAAATGTCGGGGTTAAATTTTATCAATTCTGAGGTTTAGCATGGGATAAGCAAATATTAAAAAAAACTTTTAGCTTCTATCCTGGAATTAGCAAAAAAAAAAATTTATGCAATCAAAGTTCTATATCACACAATAGAACTCGACTTTGTGTCTCTTACCTTTTAGAATCCCGGATTTAGCCTTAAACTATCAATATATCCCGACAATAGAACAAAGTTCCGTGAATAAATTCTCTCTACACACAGAGCTCCGCTCTATCCTGCCTAAAATAAAAAACACTTGAGATATTTTTAATGAAAACAAAATAATAAAATTTTATCCTTAAATATTATGTTCAACCTTCCAATGCTATACAACTTCAAATTTGACATATTTTTAAATAAATACATATATGTGCGTGTGTGTGTGTGTGTAATGGCGATTATATGGACGTTTAAATTATAATACGCATTTGATCAACACTCAACCTCAATTTATAAAAAAATCAATTTATATTTATAAAGCAGATGACAATTTTAATCGTGCATTAAAAGTAAGTTATTCTGTCTATAAGTGCATATATTCCTGAAAATCTGAACATTGTTTTTACTTTTTCAGTAATATTTAGGACATTGTTTACGGAATCCAGGTATTAAAGTAGGGTTCAATGACTTTCATTCGATCGTTAATCCCAGGTCGAATGTAATCTAAAGCGGTGTTCATAATGCTACTGTGTGTTAACTTTATTTTACATAATTATCCCTTACTAATTTCTTAATTTTTTTAATGGGACTGATTCCTCCCACACACCCAGCATTGTAACAACTGTTTACCACGATCAACAGGAGTGACCCACGAACACACCGAATTATGACACTCGGGAAGTCCCAGGAAAAAGAAGAAAATTGGAGAAGTTAAATTCTCATTTCTAACTAAAGACTCTTTGTCAATAAACGTTATCTACACGACCTTCTCTAGCAGGTCGCAGGTTTTAAAGGGTTGGAGTCAGCGACTGCGAAACCTAACAAAAATTGGTACACTGCATACCTACATACTATTATGATCTTTGTAAGGTAACGTAACGTGTTTTCACAATTTCATTCTTAAAGAACATTGATTATTCTTGATATCCTATCAACAGACCAAATCAGTAAAATGGATAAGAAAGACTTGAAATTCAAAACTGAATACATATAAGTGAAATGTGTGCATACACATTTCTCACCATCAACATGCTCATTTATTGCACATACATGTCGATTGCAATTTTAACAGAGCTTGGTGATCAGCATTAACGTAATAATATCAAAACAATCGCTAAGTTCAACCTCCCAGCAACTTATTTTCATTAATAATATCTTGAAAGAATCCTTGACAATGATTCACCAAAAGTTTTCAAAATACATAATAGAAAAAACGTGACCCATATCAAAAAAAAATGTCTTATCTTCTATGTTATAGGTGTAACGTTAACATTTGTCATCTTTTTAAACATAAGGTGATCCGTAAGTCCAACTTTGAGAAAGTAATCGAAGTAATCTTACTATGCGCTTGATAAACAATTCCAGTTAATATCAGGAATATGGAGACGAACGAAGATGGTGCCAGTGATCTGATAATCACTCTAGTGGCAGTGATCTGTTCTACACATCAGGGCACATAGTGTGTAGAACAGATGTCCGATGCAGCGGAAAGGTTCTGGAGTAGCAACTATGAATACCAAAGAATTGAGCATGCAGAGGATAGATATGGAGTGGAAGATTATTGATCGACGGTGGATGTGGTGTCTTTTTTTCATTACCT